TTGGAGTTTCAGTTAGTGTTAAGGTTCATTTGGGTACATATTAGGGTGCATGTGAGGGTATCTGTATGTGTAAGAGTACTTGTTATCGTATGTATTAGTGGTTAAGGTACACGTTAGTATACATGTTGGTGTTTGCCTTAGGGCATGTGTAAGGGTATTAAGGTTTGGGTTAGTTTTTGTGTTAAGGTATGAGTTAGGGTACATGTAAGGGTAACTATGGTTTACAGTACATTTTGTTAATATATCTGATATGTATTGGGGTATGTGTTAGGATATGTGTCAGGGTATGTGTTGGGGTACATTTTAGGGTATATGTTAGAGTTAGTATAATTGATTTGTTGGTGTTATGGTCTGGGTTAGGGTTAGAGCACACATTAGGGTATGTTACAGAATGTGTTAGTGTTAGGGTACTCAATTGGGGTAGGGTTATGGTTACTGTTAGGGTTAGGGCACATGTTAGGATATGTGCTATGGTACATTGGCGGTACCCATTGGGGTACCTGTGTAGATTAAAATATTTGTTAGGGCATATTAGGGTGTATATTAGGGTATATCTTAGGGTTAAGGAACATGTTAGGGTGTTGGAGGTACATGTTAGAGTACATGTATGGGCACATGTATTTATTAGAGTATGGGTTAGGATGCTTGTTAGAGCATGTGTTAGTGGCTAGGGTACATGTTAGGGTATATGTTAAGGTCAGGATTAAGGTTTTGGTTAGAGTATGTTAGGGTACATTCAGGGTACATGTAAGGGTTACCTGTATGAGTTATAGAGTATATGTTAGGGTTCTTGTTACCATATGTGTTAGTGTCTAAAGCATGTTTAGTGTGTTAGAGTGAAAATACTATTGGGAAATCTGTTATGGTTAAGATACATGTTAAAGCTAGGACACATATTAGGGTGTATATTAGTTTACTCTTGGGTACATGTTATGGTGCATGTAAGGGTTCCTGTATGGTTTTGAGTATGTGCTAGAGTACTTGTTAGGATATGAATAAGTGTTTTGAGTACATACTAGGATACATGGTATGTTTGGCACATGTTAGGGTAAATATACTGGTACATGTATGACTTATAGTACACGATAGAGTACTTGTTAGGAGACACATTAATGTGTTAGATTTAGGGAACATGTTTGGGCATGTCTCAGGGTTATGGTTATGATTTCGGTTAGGCAACATGTTAGGATGTGTGTTGGCATAAGTTTAGGGTACTTGTTAGGGTATATGTAAGGTCTACAGTATATGATAGGGTTAGGGTACATGTTATGTCTAGGGTAAACGTTAGGGTATCTTTTAATTTTTATCTTCGGTTAGGGTATACATTAGAGTGTTTGGGGTACATGCTAGGGTATATGTAAGAGTAACTGTATGGCTCAAAGTTCACATAACAGTTACTGCTATGATACATGTTAGTGTTTAGAGTGTATGTTATGGTATGTATTAGGGTAAGGTAAAATTTATAGTATGTGGCAGGGTTTGTGTTACAGTTAGGGTATGTGTTATGGTTTAGGTATGTGTTGTGGTATATATTAAAGGTACATGTAGGGTATGCATTACGAAAGACGTTGGTGTTTGGGTGTAGTAAGGGTGCCTCAGCACTCAGGCCTGCCGTGGGCACACTCAGCCACCACAGGGACACTCAGCACTCAGGCTCACTGTGGGGACACTCAGCACTCAGCCACCACAGGGACACTCAGCACTCAGGCCCGCCATGGTGACATTCAGCCACCACAGGGACACTCAGCATGCAGGCTCACTGTGGGGATACTCAGCAGTCAGACCCTCCATGGGGACACTTAGCACCTCCCCTCCACATACCCAGCAGCTGTCACCTGGGAGGAATCCTGGGCAGCCTGAGGCACAGGGTTAGGTCCCCAGCACATGCCACATGCCAGCCACCTGCTGTACCCACTCTCAGCCTCTGCTGCTCTTTGGGAAGACACTGACTCCAGACCTCAGGCCACTGAAGATGACCCAGGAACATTAATGAAACCCCAGAAAGACCTTGACCTCCAGGAGACCCTGACCCCAGGCCTAGGAGACTCTGTCCCCCAGGAGACCCTGTCCTCTAGGAGACCCTGACCTCAGGAGACCTTGACCCTCAGGTCTAGGAGACCTGAACCCCAGGAGACCCTGTCCCCTAAGTCTAGGAGACATCTCTGCTGCCGCCTTTGATCTCAGCCCCTGCCCGGTCCCTTGTCTTCAAGTTCTGACCACCCCACGGCCACTCATCCCTGTCCCTTAATGCCCCTGGGCTCAGAGGAGGGGATCCTGCCCCCTTCTACCATCCCCTGTCCACCTGACCCCTATCTCCTGACCCCTCCTCCTGACCCCTCCACCTGAGCCCTCCTCCATCTGATCTCTCCTCCACCTAACCTCCCTCCACCTGACCCCCTCCACCTGAACCCTCCTCCATCTGACTCCTCCTCCATCTGACTCCTCCACCTGAGCCCTCCTCCATCTGATCCCTCCTCTACCTGATCCCTCCTCCACCTGAGCCCTCCTCCACCTGACCTCCCTCCACCTGATCCCTCTACCTGATCCCTCCTCCACCTGACCTCCCTCCACCTGACCTCCCTCCACCTGACCTCCCTCCACCTGATCCCTCCTCCACCTGACCTTCCTTCACCTGATCCCTCCTCCACCTGACCTCCCTCCACCTGATCCCTCCTCCACCTGATCCCTCCTCCACCTGACCTCCCTCCACCTGACCTCCCTCCACCTGACCTCCTTCCACCTGATCCCTCCTCCACCTGACCTCCCTCCACCTGACCTCCCTCCATCTGATCCCTCCTCCACTTGACCCTCCTCCATCTGACCTCCCTCCACCTGATCCCTCCTCCATCTGAGCCCTCCTCCACCTGAGCCCTCCTCCTGACCCCAGTAACCCTCCCCTCACCCCTGCACAGACGCGGACTCCTCTCCCCCTCCCGCACAGGTGTGCTGAGTTCCAGTACGGGGTCGGATCACGCGGGTTCGGGACTTATTTGTGCTTTTCTTTTCTTTTTTCCTTACGGGTCTCGAACCCAGGTGGTGCCAGCCCGTCCAGCGCTCCGCCCGTGGGCCCTGGCACCTCTGACTTCCCGCCACTGCTGCTGCACTGCCCTGGGCCACCGCGCCCAGGAACTCCTAGCCCCGCCCAGCCCGACAAGCCCCTCCCCACAGCCCCGCCCCCTCAGGCCCCTCCCCTCCCGGCCCCGCCCCACAGGAAATCCAGCCCTGCCCCTGTGCCACACCCTGCGCCTCCAAGCCTCACAAGCACAGCGGCCACCGAGAGGGGCTTGGCGGGAAATCCCGGCCCCGCCCCCCACACCTTGCGCCTCCAAGCCTCACAAGCACCACCACCTTGGCGGGAAATCCCTGCACCGCCAAGCCTCACAAGCACCACCACCTTGGCGGGAAATCCCGGCCCCGCCCCACAGCCCACCCTGCTGGCCCCGCCCACGGGCGCTCGCTTTAGCCCCTCCTCCTCCCCCTCTGCCACTCCTCCTCCGAGATTGGCCGCAGACCCCGCGGCTGCCGACTCCCATGACCACCACCAGCGCATCCTGCAGCGCTGGCCCGCCACCATTGGTCGGCTGCCTGCTGCTGGGTCGCCTCTCGGCGCAGGGTGGGCGGGGCCTCTGCGGAGACCAGGGCGGGGCCGGGAGCAGGGCGGGGCCTGCGGGGCTCTGCTGGACCAGGGCGGGGCCTGTGCGGGAGGGGGGAGGGGCGGGACTAGAGAGAGGAAGTGAGTGGTCCAGGGGCGGGGCTTCGGGGGACAGAGCATGGGAAGGGCAGAACTAGATTGGGAGTGAGCAGGATATGGGCGGGGCTTGTGGGGCAGAGCACGTGAGGGGCGGGGCAGGAGAGAGGAAGTGAGCGGGGCGGGGGCGGGCCGGAGGGCTGGACCAGTTTTGGCGGGTTCTGTCTGAGGCTGCAGACCCGCGGGCGGCTCGTCAGCTCCTTCCTCTGAGCGCGCGCGGTGGCGTTTGGGCCTGCCGAGCTGGGCGGGCGCACTGTGGTCTTGTGGCGGGCTGGGCTTCCGACCCGGTCCTGTCAGGCGCCGGCGGCTTTTCTCCGGAGGAAGCGCCTGGAGGACGCGGGCTCTGCGCGGTCAGCTTGTCTGTGGAGAAGGCGGGACGCGGGGCCTGAGCGGACCGTGAGGCGCCTGCGGAGGACGAGCGGAGCTGAGCGGACCGTGAGGCGCCTGCGGAGGACGAGCGGAGCTGAGCGGACCCTGAGGCGCCTGCGGAGGACGAGCGGAGCTGAGCGGACCGTGAGGCGCCTGCGGAGGACGAGCGGACCGTGAGGCGCTTGCAGAAGATGAGCGGAGCTGAGCGGACCCTGAGGCGCCTGCGGAGGACGAGCGGAGCTGAGCGGACCCTGAGGCGACTGCGGAGGACGAGCGGAGCGGAGCGGACCCTGAGGCGCCTGCGGAGGACGAGCGGAGCGGAGCTGAGCGGACCCTGAGGCGCCTGCGGAGGACGAGCGGAGCTGAGCGGACCCTGAGGCGCCTGCGGAGGACGAGCGGAGCGGAGCGGACCCTGAGGCGCCTGCGGAGGACGAGCGGAGCTGAGCGGACCCTGAGGCGCCTGCAGAAGATGAGCGGAGCTGAGCAGACCCTGAGGCGCCTGCGGAGGACGAGCGGAGCGGAGCGGACCCTGAGGCGCCTGCAGAAGATGAGCGGAGCTGAGCAGACCCTGAGGCGCCTGCAGAAGATGAGCAGAGCGGAGCGGACCCTGAGGCGCCTGCGGAGGACGAGCGGAGCTGAGCGGACCCTGAGGCGCCTGCGGAGGACGAGCGGAGCTGAGCGGACCCTGAGGCGCCTGCAGAAGATGAGCGGAGCTGAGCGGACTGTGAGGCGCCTGCGGAGGATGAGTGGAGCTGAGCGGACCCTGAGGCGCCTGCAGAAGATGAGCGGAGCTGAGCGGACCCTGAGGCGCCTGCAGAAGATGAGCGGAGCTGAGCGGACCGTGAGGCGCCTGTGGAGGACGAGCGGAGCTGAGCGAGGACGAGCGGAGCTGAGCGGACCTTGAGGCGCCTGCGGAGGACGAGTGGAGCTGAGCGAGGACGAGCGGCCTCCGGCCAGGTGCGGACAGGGCCTGGGGTGGTGCTGGTGGGGCACAGGGTGGAGCAGTGCGGCCTGTCTCTCCCGGTGTATCATTTGTGTCCTTCCTGAGGTGACTTTGGTGCGTTTAGGCCTGAGCCAGGCGTCCAGAGCTGTGTCTAGGCCCAGGCCTGGGTGCGGGTGTCTGTGGAAGGGTGTGAAGCAGTGCGGCCGGCCTCTCCCGGTGTGTCATTTGAGCACATTCTGAGGTGACTTTGATGAAGCCAGGCCCCACGGCAGGCAGGCCCTACACCAGGCAGGCCTCACAGGCCCCACACCGGGCAGGCCCCACACCAGGCAGGCCTCATACTAGGCAGTCCCCACACTAGGCCTCATAGCAGGCAGGTCCCACACCAAGGCCCCACACCAGGCCCCACAGCATGCCCCATGCCAGGTCACACACTAGGCCTCACGCCCCACCGAGAGGGCCTTGGCGGGAAATCCCGGCCCCGCCCCACAGCCCATCCCGCTGGCCCCGCCCACGGGCGCTTGCCTAACCTCCTCCTCCCCCTCTGCCACTCCTCCCCCCGAGATTGGCCCTGGGCCCTGCGGCTGCGGACTCCCATGATTATCACCAGCGCACCCTGCATCGCTGGCCCACCACCATTGGTCGGCTGCCTGCTGCTGGGTCACCTCTAGGTGCAGGGTGGGCGGGGCCTATGTGGGAACCAGGGCGGGGCCTGTGGAGTGGGGCAGGGTCTTCCGGCTGTGCAGAACCAGGGCGGGGCCTGTGGAGTGGGGCGGGGTCTTCTGGCTGTGTAGGAGCGGGGCGGGGCCTGTGGGGAGCGGGCGGAGCCAGCAGCGCTTTGCAGGAGCAGGGCGGGGCTGGGAGCAGGGCGGGGCCAGTGGGGAGCAGGATGGATCCAGCTGCACTTTGCAGGAGCAGGGCGGGGCCTGCAGAGCTCTGCTAGACCAGGGAGGGGCCTGCGGGGAGTGGGGTGGAGCCAGTGGTGCTTTGCAGGAGCAGGGCAGGGCCTGCGGGGCTCTGCTGGACCAGGGAGGGGCCTGTGGGGAGTGGGGTGTAGCCAGTGGCGCTTTGCAGGACAGGGCGGGCCCGGGGAGCTACTACAGGGCTACTGCGGGGTTCCCGACATGCAGACAGGGCCTGACTCCATGCTGGTGACCCCTACCCTCCCCTAGAGCCCCAGGCTGTGCTGGCACAGAGGCTGGTTCCTGCGGTTATTCCCTGCTTCCAGGCCCATAGGGCCTTGCAGCACGCCCCGAGGCCGCCACTGAGCTTCGTGGCCAGTGCCCACAGCCCAGCCTGGAAGGGAGCCGCCCGAGGTGAACCCAGCCCGGGGCCGAGCTTGTGCGGGAGAACGGGGAGGGGCGGGACTAGAGAGAGGAAGTGAGTGGCCCAGGGGTGGGGCTTCGGGGACAGAGCCTGGGAAGGGTGGAACTAGATTGGGAGTGAGCAGGTATGGGCGGGGCTTGCGGGGGCAGAGCGCATGAGGGGCGGGGCAGGAGAGAGGAAGTGAGTGGGGCGGGGGTGGACTGGAGGGCTGGACTGGTTTAGGTCGGTTCTGTCTGAGGCGGCAGACTCCAGCAGCTCCTTCCTCTGAGCGCGCTGTGGCCTTCCTGCAGAGCTGGGCGGGTGCACTGTCAGGTGCCGGTGGCTTTTCTCAGGAGGAAGCGCCTGGAGGACGCGGGCTCTGGGCGGTCAGCTTGTCTGTGGAGAAGGCAGGACGCGGGCCCTGAGCGGACCATGAGGCGACTGCGGAGGATGAGCTGAACTAAGCAGAGGACGAGCGGTCTCCGGCCAGGTGCGGATGGGGCCTGGGGTGGTGCTGGTGGAGGACAGGGTAGAGCAGTGCGGCCTGCCTCTCCCGGTATGTCATTTGTGTCCTTCCTGAGGTGATTTCGTTGCGGCCAGTCCCTGAGCCAGGCGTCCGGAGCTGTCTAGGCCCAGAGCCTGGGTGTGGGTGTCTAGGCCCAGAGCCTGGGTGTGGGTGTCTAGGCCCAGAGCCTGGGTGTGGGTGTCTAGGCCCAGAGCCTGGGTGTGGGTGTCTAGGCCCAGAGCCTGGGTGTGGGTGTCTGTGGAAGTGTGTGGAACAGTGGGCCCTGCCTCTCCCGGTGTGTCATTTGTGTCCCTCCTGAGGTGACTGCGGTGCTGCCAGTCCCTGAGCCAGGTGTCCGGAGCTGTCTAGGCCCAGGCCTGGGTGCGGTGTCAGTGGAAGTGTGTGAGCAGTGTGGCTTGTCTCTCCCCATGTGTCATTTGAGCACATTCTGAGGTGACTTTGATGAAGCCAGGACCCACGGCAGGCAGGTCCCACGCCAGGGAGGCCCCACACCAGGCCCCACTCCAGGCACACCCCAGACCAAGCAGGTTCCACACCATGTCCCAGACCAAGCAGGTTCTACACCATGCCCCACACCAGGCCCCACAGCAGGCAGGCCCCACAGCAGGCAGGCCCCACACTATGCCCCACACCAGGCAGGCCACACACCAGGCAGGCCTCATACTAGGCAGGCCCTACACCAGGCCTCGTACCAGGCAGGTCCCACACCAGGCCCCACGCCAGGCCCCACACCAGGCCCCATAGTATGCCCCACGCCAGGTCACACACTAGGCCTCACGCCAGGGCCCACACCAGGCCCCATACCAGGCCTCACAACAGGCAGGTCCCACACCAGGCAGGCCCCACACCAGGTAGGCCCCACACCAGGCAGGCCCCACACCAGGCAGGCCCCACACCAGGCGGGCCCCACACCAGGCAGGCCCCACACCAGGCAGGCCCCACACCAGGTAGGCCCCACCCCACGCCAGTCCCAACACCAGGCAGGCCCCACATCAGGCAGGCCCCACGCCAGGCCCCACACCACGCCCCACACTAGGCCCCACGCCACGCAGGACCCACACCAGGCAGGCCCCACACCGGGCCCCACACCAGGCAGGCCCTGCACCAAGCAGGCCCCACACCAGGCCCCACACCAGGCAGGCCCCGCACCAGGCAGGCCCCACATCAGGCCCCACACCAGGCAGGACTCACACCAGGCCCCACACCAGGCAGGACCCATACCAGGCAAGGCCCACACCAGGCCCTACACCCGGTGGGCCCCACACCAGGCCCCACACCAGGCAGGCCCCACGCCAGGCCCCACACCAGGCCCCGCACCAAACAGGCCCCGCACCAAGCAGGTCCTGCACCAGGCAGGCCCCACATCAGGGCCCACACCAGGCAGGACTCACACCAGGCAGATCCTACACCGTACCCCACGTTGGGCAAGCCCCACACCACGCCCCACACCAGGCCCCACATCGGGCAGGCTTCACACCAGGTAGGTCCCACACCAGGCCTCACAACAGGCAGCCCCCACGCCAGGCCTCATGCCAGGCCCCATACCAGGCCCCACACCAGGCAGCCCCCACGCCAGGCCTCATGCCAGGCCACATGCCAGGCCCCATACCTGGCCCCACACCAGGCCCCACACCAGGCAGGCCCCACACCAGGCCCCATACCAGGCCCCACACCAGGCCCCACACCAGGCAGGTCCCACTCCAGGCCCCATACCAGGACCTATACCAGGCAGGCCCCACACCATGCCCCACTCCAGGTCACACACTAGGCCCCACGTCAGGCTTCATGCCAGGCCTCAAGTCAGGGACCACACCAGGCCCTATACCAGGCAGGCCTCACACCAGGCCCCACACCAAGCAAGCCCCACACCAAGCCCCACACAAGGCAGGCCCCTTGCCGGGCTCCACACCAGGCAGGCCCCACACCAGGCAGGCCCCACACCATGCCCCAAGCCAGGCCCCACACCAGGCAGGCCCCACACCATGCCCCATACCAAGTCACATACTAAGCCCCATGTCAGGCTTCACGCCAGGCCTCACGTCAGGGACCACACCAGGCCCCATACCAGGCAGGCCTCATACCAGTCCCCACACCAAGCAGGCCCCATACCAGGCCCCACGCCAGGCCCCATGCCGAGCTCCACACCAGGCAGGCCCCACACCAGGCATGTCCCACATCAGGCCCCATGCCGGGCTCCACACCAGGCAGGCCCCACACCAGGCAGGTCCCACATCAGGCCCCAAGCCAGACCCCACACCAGGCAGGCCCCACACCATGCCCCACACTAGGTCACATAGTAGGCCCTACGCCAAGCCCCACACCAGGCCCCACTTCAGGCATGCCCCACACCAGGCAGACCCCACACCAGGCCCCACACCAGGCAGGCCCCACACCAGACCCCACGCCAGGCCCCACACCAAGCAGGCCCCACACCAGGCAGGCCCCACACCAGGCAGGCCTCACATCAGGCCCATGCCAGGTCCTATACCAGGCCCACACCAGGCAGGCCCCATGCCAGGCTCCACACCAGGCAGGTCCCACACCAGGCAGGCCCCACACCAGGCAGGTCCCATGCTAGGCCGGCCCCACACCAGGCCCCATGCCAGATCCCATGCCAGGCCCCACACCAGGCCCCACTCCAGGCAGGCCGCACACCAGGCCTCATACCAGGCAGGTCCCACATCACGCCCCACACCAGGCAGCCCCCACGCCAGGCTCCACACCAGGCATGCCCCACACCAGGCATGCCCCACACCAGGCAGGTCCCACACCAGGCCCCATGCCAGGGCCCACACCAGGCAGGTCCCACACCAGGTCCCACACCAGGCCCCACACCAGGCAGGTCTCACACCAGGCCCCACACCAAGCCCTACATCAGGTCCCACAACAGGCCCCACACTAGGCAGGCCCCACACCAGGCCCCATACCAGGCCCCACATCAGGCAGGTCCCACACCAGGCCCCATACCAGGCTTCAAACCAGGCAGCCCTTACAGCATGCCCCATACCAGGCAGGCCCCATACCAGGCCCCACACCAGGCAGGCCCCATACCAGGCAGGTCCCACACCAGGCCCCACTCCAGGCAGGCCCCACAGCATGCAGGCCCCACGCCAGGCCCTATACCAGCCCCCACACCAGGCAGGTCCCACACCAGGCCTCTGTAGCTGGCTGCACATCTGCAGCAAGTACACATATCCGAGTCCAGGGCTTCCCTGGGTCCAGGCCTCCCTGAGTCCCATTTTTTCTTGAATCTGGGCCTTGCCTGCATCCATCCCTTCCCAGAGTCCTGTTCTTTCCCCAGGCCTTCCCTGGGTCCAGGCCTTCCTTGGGTCTCGGCCTTCCCCAGGTCTCATCATTCCCTGGGTCTGGGCTTTCCCTGAGTTCCTGGTTTGGGCTTTCTGTATGTCCGGGCCTTTCCCTTGTTGGCAACAGCTCCAGTTTCGGCCAGCTCTGACTAGGCCTGCTCTAAAGGATGTCCAATTCCTATTCTGGCTCATCTAGAAGTGGAGCTGTGGCTCAAGTGGTACAGCACTGGCACTGAACAAAAACAACTCAGGGAGAGCACCCAGGCCCCTAGTTCAAGCCTCAGGACCAGCACAAAGACATTTTTGTTTTCATAATATAGGTATTTAATACATTTTTTTTGCCTGTCCTGGGGCTTGAACTTATAGCCTGGGCAATGTCCCTGAGCTCTTTCACTCAGGGCTAGCACTCTATCACTTGAGCCACAGCACCATTTCCAGATTTTTCTGTGTATCTGGTATTTAGGATTTGAACCCAGGGCTTCATGCATGCTAGCAAGCACTCTGCCACTAAGCCATGTTCCTAGCCCTCTTTTACACGTTACTAGGTACACAAAAGTGTTTCAATTTCCTGTCGGTGAATTCCAGTGGTATTGTGTTCCAGGGCCTCCCACAAGTTAGGCAAGTGCCTCAGCTCTTGGCCCTGGTTCTTTCTCTCTAGCCTTTGTTTTCCTTGATTTCCAGCTTTTGATGCATGTTGTCTTCCTCTGACTATAGGCATTTTAAGAAGAAAACATGCAGAGTCTCAGGATAAAATGGGGAGAGCCTGGAAGCTTGGAATCGCGAATATAGGTTCATGGTGTATAGACCAATGTGGGATGGTCTGGACGGATCGGATCCCATCAGCACTTGCTCTTGCCGCTGGCATTTCTCCAAGTCTGCATCAAGTTTTCATCTATACTTTCATGTCTACACTTGGGCCTGGAGAAGGAGGTGAAGCCTCTCCCTTCCTGCTTGGTAAGTTGATACCTGTCAGAACAAATTTGAACACATTAGGCTCATCCCAGGCCTGTATCCATGTCACCAAGTCTTTACTGAGCTTTCAGCTATGTCCTGCATAAGGTATGGTGGTTAGGGGGTGAGAGGATGTATGACACATGTTTATGTTTTCATTACATACACCTTACAGACATTTTGTCAGGCATTCCAAGGTATTTCAATTTGCTTTGTTGAACATAGGTTCAGGGCTCTTCACAGGCTAGGGCAACACCTCAACACTAAGCTCTCCATTTTATGCCTTAGAAGCCAATCAGTTCCTGTAGACTGGAGTCATGTCAACATTATGATAAGGATTTTTTGAGGGAAGCAGAAGGCGTAACCTAGCCTTTTTCTTTTCCCTGTCAGACATACCAGGTCCCCCTTGTCTGTGACAGGGCTCCTGGATGCCTATCCTTTGTTGGTAGTTGCCTGCCTCTGCCTGTAGGCACTTTGAGGAGAAAATATACTGAGTGTCAGGAGAAGCTGGGGAGAGTTCCCACACTTTGAATTATGCATGTAGAATCTTGCTCTACAACTCAGTGTATGCTTTGGCAGACTGAGTCCCAACTTAGGCTTCCATCCTCATCTCTACCATGCTTTCATCTGTGCTTATGGTACCTGGAGAAGGGGTGAAGGCATTTGTGAGGAAGGGAGGCCTACTCCTTCCTGCTTGGTAAGTTGTTACTAGTCAGAACAACTTTGATGATTCTAGGCCCCAACCCTGCCCTCTATCCTGAGCTGTGAGCTAACTCAAATCCATTTACTAGGTGTGTACCTAACACATTCAGGAGCTTTGACCAACTTCCCAAAGCTATGAGAGGCATAAGGTTATGGAAGAATTGTTGAGGAATTGGTTATAGGTGTAGGGTTGTTGATGCTAAGGGTAGGGTTAAGTTTGGGTGTTTTAGGGCTACTCAGGGTGGAAGTTAGAATTAAATTTTTTGTTATGGATCAGAAATAGGTTAGATTAGGTGTTGGGTTTTCGATTAGCCAAACAGAGCAGGTTTGTATGAAGAGTTAAGTTAGTGTTAGGGTCAATGTTACCGTATGATAATGGATTGGTTAGAGAATGGGTTAGGGATCTGGTGAAGTTAGGAGTTATGGAAGGGATTAGCATTTGGATTATGGAATGGGTTAGGCTAAGGTTAGGTTTATAGAGAACATGTTTGGGTACTTATACGTTTGGGGCAGATGTAAGGTTACCTGTGTTGTGCACACTTTAGGGTACTTGTAATACTCGAAGTACATTTTAGAGTACTTGTAGGATATATGTAAGTGTTTAGAGCTTGTATTAGAGTGTATGTTTGGATATGTTTTATGGTTACAGTTTTTTAGAGTATGTGTCAGGGTGCTTGTTAGAGTACATGTTATGGTATATGTTAAGGTCAGGGTTAGAGTATGCTAGGGTACATTCAGGGTACATGTAAGGTTACGTGTATGGTTTATAGAGTATATGTTAGGCTATTTATAACCATATGTGTTAGTGTCTAGAGTATGTGTAATGTATTAGGGTGCTATAGTGAAATCTGTTAGGGTTAAAATACATGTTAAAGTTAGGTTCAGGGTTAGTTTGGGAACGGGCAAGGAAGAACTTTGTGGGATGGGTTAGGATGATGGATATGTTATGGAGCGGTCTTCAGAGTGGGTATGGAACAATTGAGGATTAGGTAATTAGTTAGTAAAGGGTTAATGTAGGTTTGGGGAGTTGTAGAAAGTGTTAGTCATACAGTTATGGATTTGGATTAGCAGCTGGTTTAGGGTGAGGCATAAGATTGCTGAGTGGCTTAGGGTATGTCTTAGGGTATGAGTGTGGGCTAAGGCACATGTTAAGATGTGAGTATGGGTTCAGAGTTAGGGTGTATGGTGGGGTACATGTTAGGGAACATGTTAAAATAGTGTTTGGGTTTAAGGTACATTAGGGTACATGTTAGGGCATGCATTTAGGGTAGGTTTGGGGTACATGTTAGGGTGCTTGATTCTGTACATATTAGTGGTTAGGGTATACATTAGGGTACATGATACAGTTATGGTAAGTGTTTGGGATTGTTAGGGTTATGCTATGTGTTAGGGTTAGGTATGTGTAAGGGTACATGTTAGGGTGCATGTAAGGATCACTTGGAGTATGTGTTAGGGTACTTGTTAGGTACATGTTAGGTATGTGTAAGAGTACATGTTAGGATGCATGTTGGGTACATGTTAGAGTGATGTAAGGATCACTTGGAGTACGTGTTAGGGTACTTGTTAGGATACATGTTCATGTTTACCATACATTTTAGGGTTGAGGCACACTTTAAGGTACATAAGGTGTTAGGGTACATGTTTGTGTGTGGATTCAGGTTAGGGTATATGTTAGGGTATGAGTATGAGCCAGAGTTAGGGTGTATGATGGAGCATATGTTAGGGAACATTTTGGGGTACATGTTAGGGTTAAGGTACATGTTAGGACTAGAGCCAGCACTAGGTTGTGTGTCAGGTTATACATTTGTGGTACATGAAGGTTACCTGTATGGTTTAGACCATGTATTAGTGGTTAGGGTATTTATTAGAATACGTGTTAGAGTATGTGTTTGGGTTAGGACATGGGTTAGGACATATGTTAGGATATTGGTTAAGGTGATGGTTTTGGTTATTTTTTGGGCACGTGTTAGGGTATGTGTTGGGTTACATTTCTAGTACATGTTAGGGTGCTCGTAAGGGTACCTAGGCTTAAGAGCACATGTTAGGGAACTATGCAGGCTATGATGTTTCAGGGCACATGTCAATATTGTGTTAGGTTTACGATGTGTGTTAGGGTATTGCTTAGGGTTAGTGTTAGGGTACATTTGGGGTACATGTTAAGGTGCTTGTAAGAGTACCTGATGTGTTAGGGTACTTGTTACTGTGTGTGTTAGTGGTTGGGGCACATGTTAATATACATGTTAGGATTATAGTATGTGTAAGGGTATTAAGGTTTGGGTTAGTTTTTGTGTGAAGGTGTGAGGGTATATGTAAGGGTAACTGGGTTAGAGTACATGTTAGGGTCCTTGTTACCATATTTATTAGTAGAGTATGGATTATATTTTGTTAGGGTACATTCAGGGTATACTTGCGGTTTATAGAGTACATGTTTCAGTACTTGTTACCATATGGGTTAGGGTCCAGAGCATGTTTAGTGCATTACAGTGCTATTTGGAAATCTTTTAGGTTTAATATACGTGGTAAAGTAATGGCACACATTAGGCTATGTGTTTGGGTCCATGTTAGGGTATGTTTTAGAATTAGGGTACTTGATAGGGGATTTGTTAGGGTTACAGTACATGTTAGAGCACTTGTTAGAGTGTATCTTATGGCAGATACTATGGTATGTGTTAGGGCATCTTTTAGGCTTAGGGCACATGTTAGGCTGTGTTATGGACCATTGGGGATACATGATAGGGTGCATAAAAAGATACTTGTGTGGTTTACAGTACTTATTAGGGTATGTTAGGGTACATGTTAGGGTACATGCTAGCTTATGTTTGAGTCATGTTAGGGTACATGTATGGATACTTGTATATTTTACAGTACATGTCAAGGTACTTGATAGAATACATGTTAGGGTCAGGGTTAGAGTATATTAGGTGATTTCAGGGTACATGTAAGCTTACCTGTATGCTTTATAGAGTACATGTTAGGGTACTTGTTACCATTTATGTTAGTGTCTAGAGTATGTTTAATGTGTTAGAGTACTAGTGTGAAATCTGTTAGGGTTAACATACTTGGTAAAGTTAGGGCACACATTAGGGTGTATATTAGGTTACTTTGGGGTACACGTTTGAGTGAGTTTAAGAGTACTTGCATGGTTTTGAATAAGTGTTAGGGTGCTTGTTAGGATATGAGTTATCATTTGGAGTATATGTTAGGAAACGGTATGTGTTGTGCACGTGTTAGAGTACACATGACTTGAAGTACACATGCCTTGAAGTACACATGAGGTTACGTTGTAAGATATGTGCACATGTTTAGAGTGTGTGAGTACATGTTTGAGTATGTGTTGGGGTTACAGTTATGGTTTGGGTTAGGCAACATGTTAGGATGTGTGTTGGCATAAGTTTAGGGTACTTCTTAGGGTATATGTAAGGTTTACAGTACGTGACAGTGGTTAAGGTACATGTTATGTTTAGGTTACATGTCAGAGTATCTTTTAATTTCTATCTTAGGGTATACATTAGAGTGTTTGGGGTACATGCTAGGGTACATGTAAGAGTACCTGTTTTGTTCAAAATTCATGTAAGAATAATTGTTACCATACATGCTAGTATCTTGAGTATATGTTATAATATGTGTTAGAGTAAGGGTAAAATTTTAGTAGGTAGCAGGTTTGTGTTAGAGGTCGGGTATGTGTTAGGGTTTAGGTATGTCATGGTTTAGGTTTTCGGTATGTTTGGTAGGATTATGGTATATATTAAGACCACATGTTAGGGTATTGTTAAGACACACTGTTGTTTGGGTGTATGTAAGGGTGCGTGTATGGTTTAGACTGCGTTAGGGTAATTGTTACTGTACGTTAGTAATTAGGGTACATGTTAGGGTTAGAGTATGTGTTAGGATACATGTTAGGGTTAAGTTATGGGTTAGGGAACATGTTAGAGTATATTGGGGGGTACATCTTAGGGTACATGTGTGGTTTGCTGCACGTGTTCAGGTATGTGTTAGGGTTTGGGTACATGTTAGGGTTCAGGTACATGTAAGGGTTAGCACATATGTTAGGGTATTTCTTAGGGCTATGATTTGAGTTAGGGCATGTTTGAGGCACATGTTAGTGTTCAGGATTCCAAACCTGTATGGTTTAGAGTGTATGTTAGGCCACTCCCATGGCCTCAGCCGTTGTGGGGTTGGTTTGCTCAGAGTCCTTGCCCTACCCTGCTCAATGGTGTGGGCCCTGCTATGCCCAACTTTGGGGGAGACTGGAGACTGGAATGAGCAGTCAGCTGTGCTTTCACTCTGTTCACACAC